CTAATAACAACCTAAGGATATGGGGAGGGGATAATGGGTGGAGGGAAGGGGATTCGAGGGTTCACTTCTGTGGTTTATCTTACAAGGGTAAGAGTGAATCTTTTTATGAGTAGAACATGAACGTTTTAACACAATGACTAAAAAAATGACATGAAGGCTGTGTTAACCAGTTTGATGGAAATGTTTCGGATTGTGTGTGAAAACACCACACTGTACCCCAGAAGTGCATTAATGTACACAGTTACCATTCAGTTAAAAAAAGAAGAAGAAGAATTGAGTATATCAATAAAGTCTTTCCAAAACTTTTAAAAAAAAAATTGGTCTGAAAGTTTTGGAAGATATACAGAATATTAGAAAGTTTTAGCAAAATTGCTTCCTTCCCCCAAGGGAACAACAGATGCTGTCATTTGGAATGAGGAAATACAGTCTACCTATCAGTATTATTCAGTCTAGAATAGCCTTTACAAACATGAAGACAGTGTAGAATTAATAAACATTCAAGGAAAATGTACTGGTTCGAAGAGAATCTAGTACTGGGAATTGGAAGTTCTAATCTCTGAGGAATAAATAATGCTCTGAGGAGAATTTAAACTCTTGAGTAATGAATATCCTTAGGGAGATTCAAGTATGTATTTAGAGAGGCTATTCAGGATAGTGATTTAAAACATCAGCTTTGAGGTCAGACTGTCTATGTTAAAACCTGGCTTTACCACCTCTCAGTTCTTTGGGTCTCAAATATCCCTCAGCTTTTTCATCCATTAAATGGGGATATTAAGTTTACCTAATTCATGTTTTCTTGAGAATTAATTGAATGGAAAGTGCTTAGAACAATACCAGGAACCTAGTGAACATTAAATAATCAGCATTTTTAATTATACTGTTTATTCATGACAATGGATGCTATGAAAACAGACCTATTGAACAACTTGAAGATTAAAAATATGATTGTTAAACTCAACAAGCAGGACAGATGCAGCTGAAGATCAAATTAGTGAGCTGGATGATTAATACAATGGATTTTCTTTGAATATAATGTCAAATAAGGAATTCTATAAAACCATGGGTAAAAAGAAAATCATAAAGGTTCCAGATGAAAGAAGTAAATTATCTCAATTGGAAAAATAAGGTTATATATGCAAGTTTATATAGCTGGATATCTTACTTATCACATTAAATGATAGAAGATTGGAAAATAGTTTTGAAATTCTGAGGTGAAAATGATTTGGAACCTCAAATTCTGTTTTTAGCCACATGCACGCCCCAAATTGAATAAGCTTATCAGCAAGACCTATACACTAAGGTTCATTTTTTTGTGTGCATGTGCTTATTTATATTTATAGAATATAATATTCTAGTTTAGACTTTGTCAAGTAAACTTGAGAAAGTATTAGTTCCTCAAATAAACTCCTCCAGTTGTATATATGTGTATTTTTTAAATCACTGACAAACAATTTAATAATCATTTTTATATATTCTTATGGTACAACTGTGTTTACAAATGATCATAGCTATTGTTTTAGTGGTGTTCTTTGTTTACATGAAAGTACCATACATCCCTACCAGCTGAAATAATGGGAATATATGATAAAGATATGCACGGCAAAAGAGCTGGATACTCATAGATATCCAAGAGTTGGATCCACAGACTGGCAAGGACTTGTAGAGATTAAAACTGCCTTTTGTTATGAATCAAAATCAGCTTTAGGCAGCTCAGCTCAGCATCTAGAGTGCTTGACCTTTTACTCTAATATCTTTCTCTTGCCTCAGCTATCTCTGCTCTTTGTCCATTGTGAAACTTCTGAGGGAGAACACTCAATTAACCTGGATATTTTGTCCCAAGCTTTTCATGCTTCTTGGGCTCTTGAACGTACACTATGGATTGGCTGCCTTGAGGCAGGTGTCTACCACAGTAGTTCCAGTTGTCTGTGGCCAGGAGGAGATGGCCAGTAATGTAAAACAGGATTCATTCGGGCTGCCTCTTAAGTAGCAAGGTTAATTTGCCTCAGGAAAAAAGAATGTAGTCACAGTGTACACCCTAGTTAATGTGGTTGGTAGCCTTTGCACAATTTCCTTTTTTAAAAAAAAAAAAATAGAATCTGGCTTGTGTTGAAAATGGCAGTTGCATTTAGAAATTGAGTGATAGAGAAAGGGAAATAATTAAAGACAGTGCTGTAACATGACCTAAAGGACAATCCTTTGCTGACTGCTCTGTAAGCCTGACAACACCCATCCTTTTAGGTCTTCTAGGTAGCTTGGTTATTTTGGCTGCTTAGTTAGGATTATAAAATCTTGGATGGATTAGTTGTATAAATATTAGGGAAAGTTTTTTTCCTTGATGTTTTAATAGCTAATTTTGGCTTGACAGGATGTTTTGAGAATTTTGCAAACCTTAAGATTATCAAACTCCTTTCAGAAAATTCTCTGGTTATATGTGTTATTTATTTAACTTAGGATCGGTGCTGAATTTATGGTCTATCTTGAGATGCTTATTATGATACACAATTTATAGTAAAACAAACAAAAAAATAATAATATGTGGATATTGGCAGTAAAATTGAATATAAATTCTTATTAAATTGATTCTAGGTTGGGCCATGCAGGCTGCTGCCTATATCTTTATTCATAGGAAATGGAAGGATGACAAGAGCCATTTTGAAGACATGATTGATTATTTTTGTGATATCCACGAACCACTTCAACTCCTCATCTTCCCAGAAGGGACTGATCTTACAGGTAAGGTAGTCTGGGTTGGATCACAAAATTTTAAAACATGAATGAACTTAGAAATCATCTAGTCTAAAATTATTCCTCTGATGAAGTAACTGAACACCAGTAAGATTCATGGCACACTCCTAAAGTCACTCAAGTAACAACAGCACATCAAGACATAGAACTGCTGTTTTATTTTTCAACCTATTAAATTTGTAAGAGGCAACCCCAAGAAAATTACTATTCACACTTGCCATACTAGAGCTTTATGTACTTAAGCCTCAGAGTGTACTTTAAAATATTAGACTTTAGTTGGTTTTTTTTTTTGCAGTTTTTTGCTGGGGCTGGGTTTGAACCCGCCACCTCTGGCATATGGGGCCTTTGCCCTACTCCTTTGAGTCACAGGCGCTGCCCTAGACTTTAATTGTTATATAAGCCTAGTTTTAAAATCATGTTTTAGATTGGATGAAGTGACTCATGCCTATTATCCTGGTGACTTGGGAGGCTGAGCCAGGAGGATCACTTGAGGCTAGGGTTTTGAGACCAGCCTAAGTAATATAGCAAGACCTAATCTTTGAAAAGTAAGGAAAAGTTAGCCAGGTATGGTGTCTTATACCTGTAGTCATAGCTACTCTGGAAGTTAAGGAAGTAGGAGGATTATGTGAGCCTAGGAGTTTGAGGGTGCAGTGAGCTGTGATCATGGCACTGTACTCTACCCTGGGCAACAGAGGAAGTCTCTGTCTCTAAAATAAATAAAATCATGTTTTACGTTAAATTTGCCCAGCATGTTCTATATATTTTCTGGTCCTCTTCTAAGATATTTGTTTATTCATTAACCCCTTTTCCCTCAAGTACTTCCTTATAAGAAAAAGAACTGATGGTAAGTAATTTCAACTACTGGTGATTTAAATTAAGGTTGCCTTTCTCCAGATATTTAAGCCTTATCCCTACCATAGGCAGGAAAGGCTTTGTCCTTTCCTGAAGAAAATGTATTCACCATTGAGCTGTAGAGAGGACACAGGAAGACATGTTTATAACTTTTCTGTCTACTCTGATACTAAACTGTATAGGCCAATAATGACAGTGGATTTCATGAAATTCTTACAATGATTAAAAACAAGAATACTATACAGTTTGTTATCCTTACTAAATCAACAGTTTTTGTGTTTTTATACCACAGGTTGTTTTCTCAGATTATGCCCCTTATCTAGATGTGAGACTATAAATGGATAAAAGTAGAACTGCTCTAGTTGATACTGGGGAGGGTAGGGGAGAACAGAGTCTGTAGAATCCTAGGACTAAAAGAGCAAAATTTACCTTTAATACCCTGGTGACTTCAAGAAAGCAGAATTTCAGAGAAGGATGCAGTAGATGAAGGTCTGCTACATGAGGGAAAAGAGACTGCAGTCTAAAAATCACAAATAGTATAGAGCATTAGAACATGAACTTGTCTTCCAAATCCTTAGTAATAGACTAAAGACAACCCTTAGAAGAACAGGTAAATGAACATCCTGATTCATACTGTGGACATAGTAATTTACGGAACCATTGCCCAAAAAGACAGTTCCAGATGAAAACTACAACTTATTTAAATACAGTAGAACCTCTGTAAGTTGACCACCAAGGGACTGTAATAAACTGGTCAACATACGGAGGTGGTCAGCATAAGGAACGAGGCATACTGTACTCTATGTACACATGGACTAGGCTTACTGTACTCTATGTACGCATGTCTGGTCTGTGAAAACTAGTTAAGGAGGTGGTCAATGTAGGGAAGTGGCCAACTAGGGAGGTTCTACTATATTAAGTGCATGAGTGACTCAGCCATAATAGGCTAATGAGGGAAATTAAGGTGTTTTGGGAAACTTTTACCACAGGTACCAACAAAGAGATCTTTACCTCATCTATTGCACATAGAACTAAGCTAAATGAAACATGGTAATTTGAAATACTAGGCAAATCTCTAAAATACATGCGTACTATGTAGTATATATTTAGAAAGGTACTTGTACTAAAGAGGATAATAGGACAATATTGGCTGCCTATTATTTAACCTTGAATATATATTATTGTAAGTCGACTGATTCCCAGAACTAAACTATCATTAAGAAATTATAATGGACAGACATTTAAATTTTATAATACTTAGAATGTATAATACTTAAGTATGGATATTAAAGTATCAGCTTCGTTTAATAGAGTACAGAAAGCCATTTACTAAAATGATGTATTTGTGAATACCAAAACATACACTAAAGAATGGCAGCTTAGAAAGTTTTTAGTAAATAAAAGCTAATGGATAAAAAGGTCATGTGTTGCTGCTATGATAGTACATTAGGTGTTCATATGTTCAAATATTAGAGTTAAAGAGTCCACAAAATATATGTGTAAAACTTGTCTTATTCAATCTTTTTTCTCACGTTTCTTTTATAGATGATGAACTTTAATAATTTGGAAATCTGGAGTGCTCACCAGAAAATATTGTGGAGGCACACTTTTTTTAAGTTTGAATGGTATTTACATTTTAAGACCAACTGCAAAAGCCAGACTATTTGCCAAATAAAGAAACCAGACTGATCCTAAAACTTTAAAACTTTTTTTAGAAAACGATTATTATACAGATAATTTTATTTAGTTGGACAAAAAGGCTAAGAATGTATCTCCAATTTGAATGAAATTTTCTGTTAATTAAAAGGAGTTTTTTGTTACCACAGTTAAGTTTAAACTTGGGTTTTTCAGCCCAAGAGAATGTTTTATGATTCACCTTACATTCTGAATCTAGCTTGCTTGCACATTTTCAGATTAATGCATTTAAATGTAACTTTACATTCTATCTTTATATATTATTATTGGCTATGACTTTTTAATGGAATTAATGTATACTAGTCTGTGGAAATTGAGAGACATAGAAGTATGCAAAAAATTTCTATAGTTCCACTGCCCATAAATGAACATTTAATATTGGATCATTTAGTCAGACACATATACATGCACGTAGGCATATATGAGTGTGTGTATATATGCACATAAATATAAGCTTATGAAAGGTGAAAAATTGTGATCATATTTTTCATGTTTTAGCTAATATTATAATCTTTCACACAGTCTGTGAAATTGTGTTTTAAAGGTTGGGTAATTTCATATTGGTATATTAGTTAGGGTTCTCTAGAGAAATGGAACCAACAGAATATGTGTATAGAGAAGGGATTGGGTCTTCTTATTCTGGAGGCTTGGCAAGGTTGAAATCTGCAGAGTGGAATCCTAAAGGCAGAATTCCTTCTTTCATGTATGGGAGAAGTGGGCACATCTTTCTTTTAAGGTCTTCAACTGATTGGATGAGGCCTACTCACGTTATGGAGGGTAATCTGCTTTACTTGATCAACTAATTGAAATATTAGTCTCATCTTCTAAAAAGGTGTCTGCACAAAAATATCTAGAATAATGTTTGACCAAATACCTAGGTGTTCGTGACCTGGTCAAGTTGATACATAACATTAACATTCACAATTAGTATGCCATAATTTTTTTTTTTTTTTGAGAAACAGAGTCTCTTTGTCACCCTTGGTAGAGTGCTATGACATCACAGCTCACAGCAACCTCCAGCTCTTGGGTTTAGGCGATTCTCTTGCCCCAGCCTCCTGAGTAGCTGGAACGACAGGTGCTTGCCATAACACCGGGCTATTTTGTTGTTGTTGTTGCAGTTTGGCTGGGGCCAGTTCGAACCCGCCACCCTTGGTATATGGGGCTGGCACCCTATTCACTGAGCCACTGGTGCCACCCCAGTAAGCCATAATTTTGCGTTCCATTTCCCTGATTTGAAAAGAAAGCTGTTTCCATGTTGTAGCAATTTTATTGCATACAATTTAATATCCTTTTACATTAAACTAATTCTTTTAATGACTATTTGAGTGCTTGGAGTTTTATATATGAAACAAAGTTTGTACTTTCATGAAGCTTATACTCGATGAGGAAAGACTGATAATAAACTAGTAAGTTTAAACAGGTCAGGTTGTCACAATGCTGTGCAGAAAAATAAGGCAGAATAAGGAGATGGAGAGTAATTGAAGGGATATCGATGCTATTTTTAAGGTGGTTAGGCAAAGCCCCTTTTCAAGTAAGGAGTAAATGAACAAATCAGACATGCAGTGGTCGTGAAAGGGTGAAAGGCATTCTGAGCAAAGGGAAAAGCAGCAACTGCACAGATTCTGTGGATGAAACTTGTCCAGCTGGTTTGAGAACAGCAAAGTAGCCAGAAGTCTTAGGAGAATGGGGGGAGTGTTGAAGTGGGAGAGCTACAGGGAGTGAGCTGACAGGAGGCTGTGGTTGGAAAGTGAGCTGCTAGTATAGTTAGTAATGATAACAGAGTGTGGGCATGTCTAGATGAAGTGGGGGTGGAGGGAAAAGGTCTGCGCCTCAGTTTCTCAGTGTCTCTGATTATTTTCCTCTTCCCACATTATGACTATTAGTTTTAGAACTATTTATACTTGTTTTCACATTGTACAAGAATTCAGTTCTGTCTTCAGAATCCCTCGTGCTTCTGACAAACTGGAAGAGCAAACTAAAGAGTGTTGACTACTCATCTTTATGGTGTCTCTGTTTTCCTAATCCCATTTAAGGTCCTGTCAGTGGACCATATCCAGGATGTGCTGAGATGATCGTGGGAGGAGCTTATCACTTCTTACATGTTGGGCCTTTCCTTTTGACTTGCATGGGGACCTTTATTTATTGACCCAATTCCTCTATTGTAGAATGTTCTTTGAATATTTTAGTGTTGTGGAATGCATCTGTGATTTTGAGAGGTTTTGAGGACTCAGTGATCTTAAATTTGTTCCTGGTAAAATTGTGTTTATGTAGGTATTTTTCTTGTGACTTGGAATAATAGTTTATAAAATTCAGGATACAGCTGAAGATTGTAGGTTCTAACATCTGTTGTCATCAAAAGGTATTTCGTGATCTCTCCCAGCAGTTGAGGCCAAATTTCTGAACACATTACTTTTTCCAAATGTATTTGCTGAATAATGGGTTTGGTTCTTCTTGGAACTTGGAAAGTTACCTCATGGAATGGAAAAAGAAGTTTTGCCAACAATTGGAACATACGTTTGACTCTAACTATATTCAGCCAAACCATGTTCAGATGTTTGTACATGATGTGCTAATCATGTGCCTATTCTGTTGTGGAGTGGTTTGGGGTAGTAATATTAGCTGTGTGCCTGAGCAAGGCAGATATTTTACTTTGCACTAAAGGCCTGAATTACTGGGTTTTTAAAAAATGTTGATCTATTTGATTATTAGTTATTTCTTCTGGATGCCTAAATTTTGTTAGTTTTTATTTTATTAGCCTTTTATATTTTAGTATTTTAATTTTATTATGTAAGTACTATCTCATGAAAATTTTTGTTTAATATTTTATTTACATTTCAATTTTCATTGAATGTTGACTTTTTGAAATCTTTTAAAGAATCTTGAGAATTTGAATGTGAATTTCAGGAAACTTACAAAATTTTAAAATTTCAACAAACAGGTCTGGGATCATTGTAAGAGTCCATCTGAAATGTTCGTGTCTTCTCATTTGAGTCAATATACTGTATTTGGTAATTACAGAACAATTAACTGCCATTTTTAATCAAAGAAATTTTGTACTTCTTCCTTTACCTCACTTTTCTCTTTTTATTTTATGGGTTCTAATGGTCTGCTAATTTGTTTAGAAAACAGCAAGGCTCGAAGTAACGATTTTGCTGAAAAGAATGGACTTCAGAAATATGAATATGTTTTACATCCAAGAACTACAGGCTTTACTTTTGTGGTAGACCGTTTAAGAGAAGGTAAGCACCCATCTCAAAGTGTACTTTTTAATGGAAGTGACAGAAATTGCTAAACTTTCTATATAGTCCTTTAGAATTTATGAAGCACTTTTGTACACTTTATCTCAAGAAATGAGATGCTATACTTTTATCATAAGTTGGGCCCACATACTAACATATTTTGTCATGTATTCTTTAGAAATTAAAAAGATATATTTGTAAAATTTCTCTTCTTTTTTTGAACACACAGAAAATGATACATATAATTAGACTGTTTCTATTTTTAAATATTTCTCAAAGTAGAAAACTACTTTAAAAATATCTTATTACTTACACTAATCAAATATTTGGCTCTTAGGATTTGAGAATCTGTCATTTTCTCACTAGATGATTACAGTTCTTTATAGCTCAAAAAATAATTTTACATTCCAGTCACTTTCCTGGCTTATAGGAAGGCAAGTACTGTTGCCTCCATTTCATAGTTAAATAGAACTGGTATCCTTGTGGTAAGTAGGTTTCCATAGGTCACTCAAGTCCAGAACAAAGCCTGGTGATTCTGCTTGCTGGTTTGTTTGTGACTCATACTACCAGCTCACACTTGTTTCAGGTCATCTCTCTTCAAGGACATGTGAAGACAGGGTGATTCCACTGATGGTATCACACCCATTTAAATGTTTCTGTTTTGATATTTTTGTTATATACAAATCCAGCTGTATTTTTATTATAGTTCTGCATATTTATATGTTTATATAGCCATACATACCAAAGTGTTTATTTTTTAAGAATAATTCAAAGCCCAGAGTGACCTCGTGGAAGAATCTTGTTTACACATTGTACTCTCCACTCTGATTTCTAGCAAGCCATATTTTATAAAGGTGATTTGTGGGACAAATTAATACCTTCTTCTGGTAATTGCTACATTGTCATAAAACTGTGCATACAGGAAAAGGGTTCCAACCATTGTGTAAGAAGAGGTATAAGGGTTCTTCTTCCCTAAATGATATCACCCTTGGCTGCTTTAAGGCTTAATGTGCTTTAAGATACAAAGTACCACCTTCATCAAAATGAAGCTTCTTTACAACTAAGTACTCTGATTGTAAAGAAATATCTGCATTCAATTTAAAATCACATGGCATGGTAAGCCAAAAGCGTTGTTACTATTAATTAGTTTAGCTTTTGAAATTCTGAGATTACAACTAATATGACATGGACTTGTGAGTTTGACAGTCTTATAATATGTGATTAGTGAGTGTCTATCTGCCCACAGAAGCCTCATGAGAAACCCAGTTCTTTATGTCTGTGTAATGGAAAGTCTCCAAAAAAATTGGTAACACTTTTCTTAAAAAAATGTGATACCATTAACTATGGCATCTCCCTTAAACTCACCCTTCTCATCTAACGGTATTTTCTATTTTATAGTATTTAATGATTCCTTTAACAATATTTTTGACATAATGGAACACATTCACCTACTAGATTTCTCTGTTAACAAAAGTTTGCTAATGGGACACATCTTTTGTTAATGAAGATCTTCCTAAAAAAAAAATCTTTCTAAATACCTGCCGGGTAATCAAGAGATTATTTTACAGAGGATAAGGATATATCTGTAAAGCTCTTTGTTTTGAAATATGGAAAATATTTTAGTAGCAAACTGATTTATAACTTTGGTTAATGTGTATTACTTAGTCATCACTCAGAGTACTAGTCAACCACAATATGTAATTTTCCTGCCAGACTGGCAACTGATTGTCCCCGCCTCTATCAGTAAAAAAGAGAAACACAATTAGGTAATTCCTTTTGTTTCAGTTAGAAAATGACAGTTAAATTATTCCATTTACTTCAGTTAGGATGGGACCAGTAGAATATAATGATAAAAATTAAAAATATGAAGATGATTATAGTAGTTATAGTACCTAACATTATTTGCTTTCTAAGTATTAGGCATTATGCTAATTATTTTATGTACCTAAAGTCAATTAGTTCTCGCAACAAACCTAGCTGGTAGATATCATTAATATATAACTCATAGTACAAAACTGAAGCAGAGATTGAGGTTAAGAACTTCATCAAAGTTTTTAGAACAGAGTTTGTCTAACTGAGTAGCCCATGCTCCTTTAACTATAACTTGTTGCCTCTTATATTTATAGTATGATTTTAGTTAACAAAGTCTCCAAATCATAAAGTACCTTTTTAACAATAGTGAGCTGAATCATTTTCTTTAAGAAATAGAAGGATGGTGGTCATGATGCAGCCTGAGACGACAGGGGAAGCAAGCAGAGGCTAAGAAGGCACCAGCAGGAGAGTGAGGGCCGGTCTCCTTTCTGGGTAGGGGTCAAGTGAACAAAGAGAGGAAAGTTTTATTAAGGATCAGAGGTAAAGAAGATCTTGGGGGCCATCTAGTCCAGAGTGCCCTTTTATAAAAGGAATCCAAAACTCAGAAAGGGGCTCAGTGTAGCTTTCTTATCTTTAGACCTTAGATCTGCTTTTAGAAGTAAATTGTGTGGAAAGGAAACTTGCTGTTAAAAGAAATGACCATTGTAAATAAATATTCCATATAGGAAAACAAAGTAACAAAGTAACATGTTCATACTTGTAACTAAACTCAATGTCCCTGCCATCTACTGGGTAAGTGGAACAAATGGGCAAATAAGTAGTTCAGAACATCAAGAAGCTTAAAGTTTTAGCAGAAAGTACTGAATAAATGGAAGTGCAAAACAAGGAAAATAGTCTTTGTGCTTCTGCTGACAATATATTTCACCAAAATTAGGAACACTTGGACAATACACACATATCCTAAAATATAACACCAAACATGTGACTTTACCCTGAGTACCTGATTTCCACCATGTTTATACTTGCTTTATTGTCTTTTTGTAGATATAGAATACCTTCCACACAATAAAGCCTCAACCAATATTAATTGAGTTGAATATTTTTTTTCTTACATCTGAAAAGTAAGACGACATAGTGATTCTAGCATTTTCTTCTCAGAGTATTATGTATTATACTGGTAAAGATTTGCCAGGGATATTATTTCATATGTACCTCTAATCACAGAACCTTTCAATATGTGATTACATAATTTTTTTTTAACCAGTTCTAAAATAACCCAAACTCAAAAGAAAGGGAAGGAGACTTTCATATGAGGAAAGATTTTTGTGTATATGTGGGTGTTTTTAATTATACAATTATAATAGGTTTATTACGTAGTTTTAAATCTTTAAGTCATTGTACCAAAAATTATTATATTCTTCATTATCTCTGGTACTTCATAATTTTTAACAATAATGTAACAACTCTTTGATTTCAAACCAGTAATGTTTTGGTCTGCCCATTATTTGATTTTCTTAAACATTTTGTAGGCCAATTACTGAATTGTATCCACGCAATAATTAGTCGCCATATGAAACAAGTTGAGATTAGGTTAAAGTAGCTAGAGGTAGGAGACAAAACTTTTACTTTTTATTTGTTAGCAGGTATCCTTTTTAAGATATAACCCTGTCTTCAGGGAGTTTGCAGTTGTTATGGATACATAATACACATGGAAAACCTAAAAATAATACAAGAAAATAAAGTCAAGTGCTATGTTTTATGGTATCTAATTTATAGATACTATGCTGAATATCGGAGTGTTCAAGAGATCACGTAGTATTGAAATGCTCAGGCAAGGCTTCTTGTAGAAAGCTGAATTTCCCTTGGGCATTAGAGATTGCATGTGATTGGGATAGTCAAAAAAAAAGAAAAGAAATGGGGATGACTGTGGAAGAATACAAGAAAGGGCTCAGAGTTAGAGCCAGTATGGACCTGAGCAGTAAACTAGGAAAAAACCTTACCTGATTGGGCTGAAGATTGTGGTTGTAAAGTAAAACTTATTTAAGTGGATTGTTTGGAGCCATTATTAATTTTAAAAACTTAATTTCTGCCCCAAATGGTCATATTTTTAGTTTGTTCATTTCTAGATAAAGTCACTCAAGTAAATCACTTTGTGTATTAAAACTAAATCATCACAGATAAATACAGTAGAAACTCCATAGTTGACCCCCTCCCTACATTGACCCCTTCCTTAAGTTGACCTAATTTTCATAGACCAGACATGCACCACATGTACATATTAGTACAGTAAGTCTAGTTTCTTATGTTGACCACCTCTGTATGTTGACTAGTTTGTTACAGTCCCTTGGGTGATCAGCTTACAGAGGTACTACTGTATTTTAGTTTTAGGTTTGAAAAGAAATTTTTTTGAATTCAAAGTAAAAACAGTGCATATTTTAATACATATTTAGTTCATATTCTAAATACGAAGGCATTTTCTATTCTAAAGGATACAGGGTTAAATTAAAATTAAATTAAATTCCCACTAGACAATTTGGATCAGCACACTTGAACAAAACTCTTCACTCTGTATTCAGGGGGAGAAAATTGCTGATTTAACACCCCAGTTACAAATGTATTATCTGGTAGTCTTGTTTTGGTATCTCTCATTTTGGTCTACAGTAATTCTCATTTGCTCTGACTATGCTAGTGGTTACCTACCAAATAAAAGCAGTATCCCAGTCATAGACAGCTCAGTCTTCAACTGCATTGTTAGCCCGTTTTAATTTCTTGAACTTCCTTGCTTAGCGCACAGTTACCCCCTTATAGACCAGTCTATTGTTTGAGAGGGAGCCTAAGGACACTTACATTGCATTCATCTTGGTTAGCAGGCCTCTCCCAGATCTGCATTCCTTTACCCTTTCTACAGCCACATGTTTTAGGAGGCAAGGAAGAAAGGCAGACAAATTATTGAAATATTCAGTGCACTATATATTATGCACTCTAACCTTTTCATGTGGCTTTCTATTGCGGGAAACTACTTATGAAATAGGATAAGACCTTTCTTTCCCTTACGTTATAAAAGATGTGATTGTACAGAGACCTTTGACATTTGCTAGAATATTTTCTGAGACCTTTTCCATTTCTCCAGATTTGCAAATATCTTCGTAGATTAGCAGTTGACTTTCTTTTGAGGCCATTTTATAAGG